TTAATTATTGTGCTGAAACAAGGGCTTTGGTATGTGTATATATATACATATATATATAGTTTACATTTGATTACTTTTTACTTCAATTAAAAGTTTTGTCGATTTCTCTTATAGAATTCCCCTAGAAGTATAGGATCAATTGTAAATGTAAGTTAATGTCTCAGTCTTATTTTAATTTTTGTTGTGATTGAGGGAGTAGACATACAAAATTGACTGTATAAATTCATCAATTGGTAATTATCCAAAATTGGGGCTCCAGACCTACATCGCTCCAAAAATTTTTTTTATAGATTTCCGGTCATTCTACATACTTAATAGGATTAGATACTAGAAGGTGGGGGAGACAATTTTTTATGACTTCATAAATAAAACAAAAACTTTTTTTGAATGTTAATTTTTCAAAATTCAAATCATAGTTCTAAACTGTAGGTACGAGAAGAGATGAGTGAGGAGATCAGGGGCAAAAGGGGGGATGTTAAAAGTTATACAAGCCTATCTCGCAATTGCCACTGCAAGTTTATAAGAAATAGACGAGATAGGTTAGTAGGACATCTTCTCAGACATGAAGGTCTAGTCAGAGACATATTAGAGGCAGAAACAGGAATTAAGAGTGGTATAGGTAGACCTAGATTAAATTTACTGTTAGTGTTTAGTTTTAGTGAAATGCGTTTAGTTTAGCTCAGGATAGGAAAGAGTGGAGGTACGTGTCCAGCTAGTATTGGGACTGACGACCTTATGCTGATGATTGCACTCATAATTTTATGCTGATTTTTCTTGGATTTATACTTTTTGTATACTTTCCCGGGTTGCATATTTTACGTCGACAGCTTGATTTTTTTTTATATGTAGATATCGTTAGTGACTACCGAAAATTATTGTAAATTACCAGTTGGCAAATGTCAATTTCCACATCATACATTTTTTTCTAGACTTATTTTGAAAAGTGCCATTTAAAATTGTTGTGATGGATTATTAAAGGCTTTTTATTGCATACATTGAATGCAAAATCTTTTTCGTTATTGAAATTCGCAATGTTCAAGAATTATCTCCATAAATGGTTGCAAAATTGCACTAAGATTGTGGAAACATTATATACAAGACAGCAAATTGACGCAGGGGAATTCTACGACGATTTTAAGAAAAACGCAAATTTAAACGTTTTTAAAGCTTGCAGCGATACAAGTGTACTGACGTATCACGTAACAAGCCTCCACGATTCCAAAGACGATCAAACATCCGATCATCTTATCAGAAGGTGCAGCTCACAAACTTGTCTTTACAAGGAAAGTAGTAAGGATTGCACCGAAAATATATCTTTCGTAAAATTAGAAGGCAAAATGGCTGAGGAACATTTAGACATAACCAATAAGCTGAAAGCCACCATTCCAGTTCATTCAGGAGGTGAATTCGGGTACGGTAAAATTTTGGACATTTCTTCAAGAGACGGACACGAGTTTATTATTTGCGATAGACTAGGAAGGGAATTGAGATGCAAAATAAACAGCGAAGAGGATTTGAAGGAGTTGACAGAAATTTTGAATAATAAAAAAGATTTGATAAAGTTTATTGAAGCGCAGACAAAAGGACCACAAGGAAAAATGATTAAAGAAGGTGAAAATCGTGATGATAATTCAGAAATTGATTTTGAAGATGCTCAAAGCGAGTGGAGCGACAAAAAAGAGAAGGGGCTTGATTCCATTTACGATTTGAGAAATTTTGTGACATTTGTCAATGAAACCAGATCATCTAGAATCGATGAAAAGGAAGATTATGATATTAAAATATTAGGGGACGACTCTATTCTTAATTTTCTCAAAACCAATTTAGCCTTGACTGACCATAAAATAATTTACACACCACGCGAGCGACAATCGCCTGGAAGACAACAACACCGATGTGAAATCGGCGAAGATTATAAAATGCTGTTTGTCTTGCTACCACAGAACAAACAGTTTTCAAATATTTCGATTGATAATAGAAGTTCGCCACATACTGTAGACAGTTGTATCATGGAAGGAACCAAATGTTCTGCGAATAATAGTTTACGAAGAAGCACTAGTTTTACAAGAACAACAAAAGCCTCCGACGATCCATGTTCAGGAAAGAAAATTAAACCTGTCGAAATAACAAATTTAAATAAGAAACCCGCAACTCAAAGACCCGATTCGGTGAAGAGATCGCGGTGGACCAACACAGCATCAACATCAAGTTACTACTCTTCATTGTTACAAAAAAGAAAGAACAATGCCAGCGAGATTAAAATAACTGCACAAAAAAGTAATCAGAATGTTGACCCCAAAACGAAGAACAATTACGCCACTAAATACGACAGACAGATCAAGAAATTGCCTCTTTCACACAGTACCTATGAAGAAAAACTAAAGGAAGAAGTGCAGAACAAGAAGATTTCTCAAAAAAACAATTTGACTCCTAAACGTCGTAATTGTTCTGCACAAATTGTAGAACCAGATAAACAAAAAACGAACGTCATTTTGAAAAAGAAACCCGCACCATTAAAACCATCCCCGTCTAAACCTGTTGAAAAAACACCTAAACCTAATCTCCAACCAGTAAAACCTGTATCAAGTAGAATTACATCTTCATCAATAAAAAATAGAAACGTCAGTAGTCCTGTGAAACCTAGTAAAGGAAAAACATCTTATACGTCAACAAAAAATGATGTCAATAAAGTCCAAAAAGAAGTAATTCAAAACGAAATTAAAAAAGATACTCAAAATTCATCACATATACCGATACTTAGGGAGAAAAAGAAGATAAGTAGTGAAAATATAGAGCAATCTCAATCATATACAGTGGAAGAATTAGTCGAAAATTTAGTTGAAGATTTAGTCGAAGATGTTAATAACCAAAACTCCGACTCGTGGATTCAGTCTTTAGATAGTGATACTCAAATTGTCGCAGCCTCTGAGAAGTTTCACAAGACTATCTTGAATCATCGACCAATCGGAAATTTGGAAAAGTTATTGCAACTTTTGAATCATATAACTTTATTGATAAAGATAGACAACAGGACTGGGAAGTAAGTGTAGCTAATGCGTAGATATCATAAAGTGCAGTTTTTTCATTTTAAAAATTCTGTATTTTACTTCCTAAAGGTGGAATGATACTAACGAAGTTTGGAAGGATGACACAGAAATGAAAACAACATTGCTACAGAGTAGGAAACACGGAACATGTTACGTCTACAAAGTAAGATAATAGAGTAATTGCTGTTAGCTTTCATGGTGGGAGTCAATTTGGACGTTGGAGATTTCGGGGTTTGCTGGCTGTGATCTAGGTTGGTTGTTGATTTTACCAGACGTTTCGTCATCAGCTGTAGATGACATCTTCAGTGGTTTGTTATCGGATGCGTAGTCGGAGTATTTTCTTCAGCGGCGGCGTTGCGCTGGCTTGTTGTTGTCTATGTGGTTGTATACTTCGTTTACTTTCTGTAGTGATGTGACCTTGAGTTTGACCGGCGCAAAGTAGAAAAGAATAGCACTAGGCTAAAAAAGAAAGGAGACAACTCTCAGCCAAACACTTAACCGGTGAGGAGCGTATAATCCGTACAGTACTGCACGGAAAAATTGATCATTTCATGTACTACAATGGCATTGCTCAAATGTGCTGTTATTGATACCAATTACTACTGAAAATATCAACGAGATGTTTATTTATTTTTGAAGACATACTAAAGGCTTTAACGCTTGTTTTCGACTCGCACTACTATTCATGATTGAACAAAACTTTTGGCAGGTACTGTATGAAAAAGTATGTTTAATGAACAAGAGTCGAGAGTATAATGAGCTTTTTTCTTCCTACTTACGATTTTGTCAGCGCGCATCCATGACATTGGAAGGGGCACATCGTTAGAGAAAGTAAATGAAGTATAACAACAAGTCACTGAAGATGTCAGCCACAGCTGATGACGAATCAGTAACTTATCTATACCTTGGTCGGCAAACCCCGGAAACATAAGGAGGAAGGACTGTTCACCCACCACCACCACCAGCACCAGTGGCTGGTGGGAACGAAACATGCAAAAATATTTTTTTATTTTCCTCAAAAGTTTGTTCTTCTGTGGTTGACAGTATTGCCAAAGTTGGTATAATTGTACCAATCTAGTACATTTTAGTCTTCTTTATACAAAAGTACAATTTCATCATTTTTGGTACATTTTTCTGCTAATTATGTTCGTTTTTAAATGATCACAAGAAAAATAAACAATAATATTTATTCTGAAGCAAATAAAAAACATGAATCGAGTGATACCGCCGACCAGTTCCAACATTTATTTAGTTAATTATGCTGTCTGGTTGACTATATTCGCTGGATATTTTGTGTGGGGTATGCTTATGCATCGTTCGTAACGATTGGTTATGTCGAGCTTTAGCGGGAACAGCGTTGTCCACCGCGGGGAGATTCCTGCCTTTATTATTCATTACCAAATATTTAAATTCAGTACATTTTATTATGATATGGTGCAATTTACATAGGGTTTGTAGATTTAGAAAAAGCTTTTGACAGTGTTAAATGGGAGAAGATGTTACATATATTTAAAAATGTAGGGACGAGATGCAAAGATAGAAGAGCGATACTTAGTTTCTTATAAAGTGTAACAGGCAGTTATAGAGCTGGAGCAGCAACGTAGAGAAGTAAATGTTAGCAAAGGAGTGCAAGGGATGCATCTTGTCACCGCTGCTTTTTAATCTATACTTACATCGAAGATGCATCAACATCATTAAAGACAGTACAACTTTAGGAATAGATATACAGGGGCAAAAGATTAGTATCCTTAGATTTGCTGATGATATAACAGTATTNTGGTAGTTACGAGTAATGTAGGTTTTCACGGTCGGCGTCTCCAGTATCACTGGTTGTTGCCGGGCTTGTTGACCGTGATTGGGATATTACTGCAAGGGAAACGCCAAGAGTAAAATCATAAGGCTACTTCACACAGTGCGATAACGATACGATTTATTGCATGCATCGCAACGACACAAAAGTGTATCCAAAATAAATCTATTTAAAGCGAACGCTTACACAGTGATGCGATCCGATATTATAATCGTTGCAGTAAAAAATGTCGCAAATACATTCCGATTTGTATTAACAAATTGTGCGATAAAAATACTGCACGACACGTATATTCCATGTAACCAAATGTACACTTTCACACATGTCGTGTGTTGCGTCAACTTACCGTTGTCCACGGTTGCCGATACTTGTTTCCTCCGCACGTGTATGATATGCTAGTAGTGCTAACTGTAGGGCTGCCATTCGCCCGCGATTACCCGCATTTGTCCTAGTCCTAGTTTAAAGGGCATCCGGAGACCGTCCGGCAGGGGTTTTTAAAACGGTTACACCCGGACAATTTTGTTATCAGGGGAAATCGAATTTTTTTTATAGATAAGCAATGAAATGAAATAAATGTTAGTTAAAAATTCATTCATAATAACCCGCATTCAAGAAGGCACAGCAAAATATTTTAGCGAAAATTGGGAAGTCTGAAAAATACCAAAATAAGTAAAAAAAAATGATCTCGTTAAAATTAAAAGTTTTAGCAGTTACTTAAGTACTTTTAATTTACAAATATTATAGGGATTTGGCTACCTAACTAGATGACNGGATTGTTTGTTCTTTCTTTGAACTGTTTAACTGCTTTCCCAGAACGCAGGTACGACACACACATTTACGACGCACATGAATAAAGGCGGCCGCGGCTAGTCGGCGAATCGATAAGCCGTTCACGCACACGTGTGCCTGATCGCACATAAACACACTCGTGCTCGCTACAATATGATTTTGATGAAGAAAGGAATACGAACGCATGGTTACTTATATTCATGAGATTGTTGAATATACTCATCATTTTGTCATTATAACTTAGTTGAATTGTACTTAACATTTCATATTAATACTTCATTATTGTGGAACTTCATCGTGTAGAAATTTCATTAAGCCACGTAATAAAATTTTAGAATTAATTTTACTTGAAAAGTACGCCCATTTCCATTATTAATCACACATACAATTTGCAAAATTGCTCATTGGGTTAGGAAATTTGTTTTATTAGTCACTATTTAGGTACACTATCTGATAATAATGCCACATTATTTTGTTAAAATAAAAAGTTATATAGTACCTTGTTAGATAAATAGAATACGGGGCACGCCAAAAAAATTCTAATTCTAAAAATTCAAATAATATGGAATCCCAACGGGCAAAAATACCGACATATGTTAGTGAACATTATTTGAAAAGAAATGACACACGTTAGGGTAGCTTAGCGTCAGGGTTAGTTAGCTTACATTAATTTCGTTTCCAGTATTTGGTACTTCACTTCTACCCCCTGCACCTTCATCTCTATCCCCCAAACACTTTTTTAGGGTTGCCCGGTGATCTATTTTATTTGTAAACTACAAGGTTTGTTCATAAACTATCGCGAATTTTGAATTTCCGCGGGTTACGTATATTAGGTTTTTGATTTTTTTGTGGCGTTATGTTGGTATTCATGTCTCTTACTTATACCGACAAGTTCGACCATAGCTGCTTTACTTGTACGTCTTTTGACTCGTCTTTGATTTTTGCCTATTCCAAAAAACAGATCAAAGAATCTTTATCAAATTTTGTGTGAAAATGAAAATTAAGTGTGCGGATGCATTCGGAATGTTGACTGTGGCATATGGTGAAGCTACCTTGGACCGAAGCAACGTTTATCGGTGGTACAAAATGTTTTCAGAGGGTTGAGAAACGCCCGGATTTGTAAAAGAACAAAAATTGGCTTTTACACCATAATAACGCCCTCACACATCGTTGTTTGAACGCGAATTTTTGGCCAAAAACAACACATTAATAATGCCGCAGCCACCGTATTCCCCAGATCTGACCCCCTGTAACGTTTTCTTGTTCCCGAAACTCAGGAAACCCATGAGAGGAGATAAAGGGGACAAAATAGATATTCATGGATAAGTAAATATTTTTTAAAAAAACACAAAATTCGCGATACTTTTTGAACAGACCTCTTGTGTAGGTACAATAGAACTTCTGGAACTCGAACATCTATAACTCGATATCTTTTTTAATTCTAATATGCTTTTGCTTCCTTATATTTATTATAATATTTGCAACTCGAATTTTTCTCTAACCAGAGATTGGAGTGTGGGTTTTATAT